GTGTGCAAAGCCCAAACTGCTGCAGTTTGGCAGTTTGCTGCTCGCTCGGCGTTACCGAGGAAACGTGGCCAGCGCTCGGGAATTTCGGAAAAGCAAATACCGGAGGCACAGCCCGCATAGGAATTGATGGCAGGAGACACCACGGACTTCCCTCGGCGGTGAGCTCTAGGCCAACAACCGGGTGAGCTGCGGGCTGTGGGCTTTGTCTGCCCTCAGAGTGGCCTGTGGAGAGCATCACTTCATCCCCTGCCTCCACCTGGCTCATCACCTCCTCCCGCCTGCCCTGCCTCTCCTGGGATGAGTGGAGAGCTGCTGCCTTTCCGCAGAGCTGCTCACACAGTGGGGATGGGGTGGGTGAAATCCAGGCGTTGGAGGGCTCTGACTGCACAGGTGTGGCTTTCATCTCCCCTGCCAGTGGCTTGAGCAGCTGCAGTGTACAAAGATGCAGGAGGAGCCGACAGCTCCCCGTAAAAGCAAAACATGTTTTGGTGAAAGCAAAAACTGCAGCAGAGCCAGGCAGGTGCCCCCGCAATGCCCACGCCCAGCACATCCCGTGGATCCCCACGCTCCATCCACCCTGTGCCCCTCCGAGCTGCTCCGGACTGGGCTATGCGTGTGACTCTCATGCTGGGTATTTTTAGGTATGATAATTTCTGCCCGTTATTGTTCCTGCATTTACAGCGAGCTGTTCCCGTGATGAAGAACTTCCTGGTGTCTGAACAGGCTGATTTTCCTTCCTTGCAAAAGCAGCAGATGGAAGGAAACAAACACTTCTCTTCAGGAGAAATTGAAGTTTAATGGGGGAGCTCTAACAAGCACAGCATTTTCTTTTGCCCCATCTTGAAGGGATCAGAGTCAGCAGTGCTCAGAGACCAGGGCTTTTGCTATTGGGAACTGCTTGGGAGCGCTGGGATTCTTTTCCTGAAACAGCAACAATTAAAAAATTATCTCCATGAAGAATCCTCTCTGCAAATCCTGTAATTAAAGAGTCTTTTTAATATCCACCATCAGTCACCCTTTCCTGCTCTAGCATGTTCCATTTACCTTCTGACCCCAATTTATAAGAAAAGGAGAAAAAATAGATCTGGAGAAGAGCTGCTCTTTCCTGCAAGCTCCACGCACATCCTAGCTCTCCCAGCAGCACTCAAGTCCTAGTTAAGGATATTTTTGGGGTCACAGCAAGCCGATGTGTTGGGCAATGCATGAACAGGCAGCTCTGGAGGGCACCCATGCCAGTCCCTTCCCATTTTGCAGGTGATGTTCCCATGACAAAGCTGTCAGGACCTCACTTCTCACCAGGTTCAAAATTGCCAGCCTACACAGTAAGGGATTTAACCTGGATAGCACGGTTAAATTAACCATTGGTTAATTGTGATTTCTCCAATAGGGCGAAGAAACAATGGAGCAACAAAGGGCATTGGTGAAATCGGTGAGCTGGGGCCCCTGAAGTCAGGCTGGACTGAGCTGGCTGTGCTATGTGGAGGCAATTTGGAGCTCAGCTCTGCTTGCCCCGTGCACCATCCAGCACACCTCACTGCATCCCTCCATATCTGCGCCTTGGTTCTGCTGCTGGCTTTCAGAGGAAGAGAACTCCCATTGGGAAACTCTTCCAATTCAATGCCACTGTTGTTTTCATTCCTCCTCCTCACAATACTCGTGGCTTACTGGGCCATCATTTTCCACACCAGTGAACAAGGCACTGCTCCCACCCGGCTGTGGGACGTGTGGCTGGGCTCGCTGGGGCTCTCCTCCTTCCAGTAGACCCCGTGTGACCAAGTGGCTTTTGTTGCTGCAATAAACACCAAAATTGCAGCTGCCTGCATGTCCAAAACCCCACACCTGCAGAACCTGCTGCTTCCGAGGCAGGGGGGCAACTTCCCTGGGCAGGGGTTGTCACAAAGCCACAGAAAGGTTTGGGTAGGAAGGGGCCTTAAGATCATCCACTTTCACCCCCTGCCATGAGCATTCCACTATCCCAGGTGGCTCCAAGCCCGATCCAGCCTGGCCTTAGACACTTCCAGGAATGGGCCAGCCACAGTTTTGCTTTTTTGGGCAAAAAGATCAAAGATGATTCAAATACAAGACGATCCCAAGCACAAAAAGTCTTTATTGGCCAAGTGATATTTTGGGGAGGAGCATCTTTTAGACAGCGTTTATTAATCCTTAACAAATCTCTCCAGCTTAATTATACAGCTCTAATTCAGGATGTTATTCCACAGTGGGAAATGACATCTATGTATATTCAAACTCTGTGAATCCAATTCTTGCACATGGAGTGTCTCTGCCTCCAGGGACACAGGACTACTTTCGAATGGATGACAAAATGTTTCTGTCATGTGAACATTTTGATTTTTTTTAATTGGGTAATTTAGCACTTAAAGGTTAGAACAAAGATCTAGCTTTAATGTCCAACTCAGTTCTTACTAGTTTACCTTACACACCCTGCTTTTGAAGTTTATTGTTTAACTTTTAGTGTTCAATATTTATTACAAAGTGCACATTAAAAGTGTTCCCTTTATTGCTCAGTTGTACACAATAATTAAAGGAACACATGTATAGCTCCAAGATTTCAGAGGACTCACTCCACTACTTGTCATACTTTCAATTGCCTTCAAATACTTTCACAGCACATCCTGTACGGAAGTCACTAAAATCAATGACTTCAAGCTTCAAGTGTCTCTTGGGAGAAAAGACATTTTGTATTGGAGAAAAAGACAAAAAACACAGAGGCATGAAGTGATTTGCCTCAAACCACTTGGGAAATGAAAGCAGAACCAGTCATGTGCAGTAACCACAGCATCATCTTTCTACTGAGCTTCCCCACCTTAGAAAACAAAAATAAATACAGGGAGAGAGGCTGGAAGGAATTGCCCTTACCCCTCCGGAGTCAGTCATGCTCAGACTAGATGGACTAATTAGGCCGTGATTTGCCTCCACTGGCCCCAAAATGGCTTTGACATAAATGGTTTCACAATTTCTCCAGGATAAGTTCCAGCATCTTCTCTGAGGACATGCACAGGTTGAATCTTACTTTAGTCTCTGTGTTGTCCAAGTCAATCACTGTGCAGCTAATTACCACTGCTGCCACAGCCTTACTTAGGGGTGTAATCCCACCTCAGCAGCAAGTAAATCCGTGCACGTCATCAGGACATCTCCTCACTGCAGGGAAATGCTCAGTGCAAATGGAGAGTCTTGTGGAAAGGTGAAAGCAGAGTCTGTCGGTGCCTGCAGCTCTTGTTCCAGCTCCTTCAAAGGCACCTGTGTTGCAAGAACCCTGCCTCAACCTTGTGTCTCCCGCATTTCTCAGGAGCCACTCTTTGAGCTTATTCATCGCTAAAATCCTTCACGGTTCCTGCCTCTCTTTCAGCATGAGAGCTGGGATGTTCATTCATCTCACTAAGACATCGATGAACTCCTTACCCCTCAAAGGCAAAATACAGGGAGGAAAGAATCCAGGCTGATTATGGTAGGGAGTAATGAGCATTGAGGCCTGTATTTATGACTGAGTGTGCAGTTCAAACCCATGTCCTCGGGCTTCAATGCTTGCAACTCTCTGAATTTGCAGTTTGGAATCCCAGAGGGGCTGATTCAGCCTTCCTTATCCTAAAGCTGATATATTTAAATCTCATCCACCTTAGGGATTGATGTGCAAGCCTGACTAGAGCTGAACCGCACATGTAGAAAGCAAATGTTACACAAGCTGAGAAGTGTTTTGGCCAATGTAACACTGAAGAACTCAGAATAAACCAACATCTCTCACTGCGTGGTTTCCTACACGTGCTCCTTTTGGAAGGAAGGAGCTCAACACCATCTGCTCCCTGTGGATATGGAAGAGCTGACAGCAAACACCTCGTGTTTGGTGCAGCAGCTGCTGGCCTGTTCCCTGCCCGTGTGGTGACAGGGATGGCCGGGGTCATGTGTGACCCAGGCTTGGTCAGTGTGGCTCACACAGGGCTGGTTCCTCAATGCTGGCTCTGGTGTGTCCCTGCTGAGGCAGCATGGCTTTACATCAATTTCCTGACTCCCTAAGTTTCACTAACACATCCTGTGGCAGCTTCCACTCTGAAAATTATACTTCACTTCCATGATGTCCATTATATGTAGTGCACGGAGCTTGTGGGGTGGCTCCTGCAGCTGCGGTGGTGCTGGGGACATGGCTGGCTCTCGGCATTCCCGTGGGCACTGGCTCCCTGCACCCAGCCAGGCTGGCTCTGGGCAGGCTCTGCTCACCTCCAGCCCCAGTGGAGCTGTCCTGCTTGGAAACCAGCCCAGCAGAGAAGGACCTGGGGGTGCTGGTTGATAGCAGCTGAACAGGAACCAGCGTGTGCCCAGGAGGGCAAGAAGCCAGCAGCACCTGGTCTGTCTCAGCAATAGTGTGGCAGCAGGAGCAGGGCAGGGACTGTCCCCTGCGCTGGCACTGCTGAAGCCCCTCGAATGCTGCATCCAATTCTGAGCCCCTCATGGTGAGAGAGACATTGCGGGGCTGGAGCGTGTCCAGGAAAGGGAACGGAGCTGGGAAGGGGCTGGAGAATTCCGAAGGGAGCTGGGAAAGGGGCTCAGCCTGGAGAAAAAAAGGAGGCTCGGGGGGAATTTGTGGCTTTGCACAGCTCCTGACAGGAGGGGACAGCCAGGGTGGGGTCAGGCTGTGCTCTCAGGAACAGGGACAGGAGGAGACTCCTCAGGAGACTTCTCCTGAGGAGGACTTCTCAGGCTGGGCCAGGGCAGGCTCAGGGTGGACATCAGCAGGAATTTCCCCATGGAAAGGGGGGTCAGGCACTGGAACTGCCCAGGGAGGTTTGGATCCCATCCCAGGAAGGGCTGGAGGTGACACTCGGTGCTCAGGGCTGGGGACCGGGCGGGCGTTGGTCACAGCCCGGACTCGCTGCTGTCGCAGCTCCCTCCCAGCCTCGGCGTTCCGCGATCCCGCGGCCCCTCCGGGAGCGCTGCCGGCGGCCCGGGGCGGCTCCGGCGGCGGGCGGGGCGGGAGGCGGCGCGGCCGAGCGTGACGGGGAGGGCGGGAGCGAGCGGAGCCCGCAGCGAGCAGCGACCGGGCCCCGCCGCCGCCTGCGCCGCGCCCGCACCGACCGCAGCCATGGCGGCCGCCGAGCCCAGCACCGGCCGCTACCAGCAGGTGAGGGGCGGCGGGGCCGGGCCCGGCGGCTCCCGGGGTGGCGGGGCCGGCGGCGGGGCCTGCGCTGGCGGCAGCGCCCGGGGCGGAGGCCGCGGGCCCCGGGGGGCCGGGCCGGACTCGGGGCTGGGTGTGCCCGCGGTTCGCACAGAGCCGGGGCTGCTGTTTGCTCCGTCCTGGGGCTGGGGTTCGCACAGAGCCGGGGCCGCTGTTTGCTCTGTCCCGGGGCCGGTGTTCGCCCAGTCCCCGGGGCGACCTTGGCGCAGGGCGCTGACCCCGCCGGTCGTTCCCCCCCATGGCCCGTTCCGCATCGTGCCGAGGTCACCGTTAGGTTTCTTCCGTCTTTTACGTGCGGACTCCCCCTAGGCCAGGTGCTGGCCCTAAAGAGCTCCCTGGGGAATTGGGGTCGTTCTTCCCTCCCTCCTCCCGTTTGTCTGCAGTGCCGTCCCCACGGAGAGGGCCCGGTGTCACCCCCGGTGTGACCCAGTTCTGGCAGGCGCCTTTCCGACATCAAACATGGAGAATTCTTTACTTAGAGTAATGCAGAAATCCCTCAAAACAGCAGACAGCTCGCTCCTGCTGAACGCAGGCTCTCCCAAGAAATCGCTGTGTTGTGACTTTTCCTGGGTAGCATTCCCGGCGTAGGTAGGCTGGCGCTCAGCAGAGTTCGAGATACTCCCTCCCATGGGATGGAGTACTTGTCTCGTCTGACAGCTGCAGGTCTCTGTGTTTTTACATACTGCGAATTTAGAAGTTAAGTAAAACTTAGGGGTGTTTTTTTTTTTGGTTTTTTTTTTTTTTTTCCCTGTGCTAAACAGATGTGCTCACTTACAATGACAAATCTCTTTGTGTTGTTCTGGGACCTGCTAGGGACAGATAACCAGGTTTCTGCACTAATCGCCTTTCCTGGCAGAGTCCTGCTGGTGGTGCTGACCCCAACAAGTGTCTTCACAAATGCCTTTCCCAGGGGATGTGCAGCATGTCCCATCGCCCGGAGCAGTGGGGATGGGTGACGCAGTCGCTGAAGGGCCCCACTGCCTGCTGTGGTGTTCCCTGGCTGATGCACACACTCCTGGTTTCCCCTGAGAGGAGTGTGTAAAGCTGTTGTTTGCCAGCTCAGTGTTGTGTCTGCTCACACCTCGGGCAGAGCCAGGGCAGACTCATCTGCAGAGATTAGGGATCCAGGCTGTGCCAGAGGATTTGCACTGCTAAAGACAAGCACATAATGGAGGCCTGTGGAGCCACTGGTTAAACTGGAGTGAAAGGCAGATTCTCACATGTAAATATATTTACTTTTGTGCAGCTGTTTAGAAATTGCTTCTTTTTCCTTGCCCTCTGCCAGAACCCAGGTGTTCCCGTTGCGAAGTGTGGTACCACTGAACTGGCTCCTAATGCTTGTGTTGCTTCAAAACCCTGCAAGCTGTGGAGATGCAGTTGGGATTTAGATAAAGAGAGGATGAGAGAGTGGGAGAGTTTCTGCAGCATTGAATGTCTCAATTTCTCCCCCATATTTTGAAACTTATTGTGTGTGGGAATGTACAATAATGAATGTACTATGTGCCAAGGAAGAGAGACTGATAGTGAAGTGGTAACTGCAAGGGCTAGAGTGAATACAGAACTCAGTGGAGGTAGCCTGGAGAAATTCACAACAAGCTCATTTAATCCTTTAAATTATTGGTTTATGAGTCAGTGGAGGCATTTTTAAAGCTTGATGGTTTTGGGTGATGGGGTAATGCATTAATGGAATTGGTTATATAGATAGGTGGTTCCTGTACTGGTAAATTGATTGTCCAAGCGTACCAGGGATATGTAACCCTCACTCTGGGATGGGTTCCTGATGCATCCATGTGTATGTGGGAGCAGCACTGAGGTGTGGGCACTGTGGAACCTGTACAGTATTGGTAGGATTCCTCTATGGTCTGTATTTTCAGGAAAAAAGGTGAGAGTTAGTGACCATGATCTGAGCACAACAGAACTCGATACCCCAGTTTGAGATCTGTGTGTTTCCTCTCCTCTCCCAGCCCTTCCTCAGCCTTGCAGGTGGGATGTGGGAAGGTGGGAATGTGGGCTGTGCTCCATCAGCAGCCTCTTTCTTCCCTGCAAACTCCCAGCCCGTGTCCGTTCACCATCGTGGGCAGTGTGCAAGGGCCGTACACTCATTTATTTTCCAAAGCCAACTTCCTAGCCCATGGCTTTGTTCAGGCACGAGATAATCTGATAAAAAGTAGCCTGCGAAAAGTGATGTCTGCTCACGTACTGAGGAAGTGCAGCTCCATGCAAAATAAAACTGAAACTCTGGAGAAGGGATTTCAGCCTCCCCCACCCCTTCCATGGGGAGCAGGGCAGGGACAGGCTCAGACTGCTGGATTTGGATCCTCCTCTGCAGGCCAGGTGCTTGTGGAGGTGGGAATGGAGAGGTTTGGGAAGAAGGACAGAGAGTTGCAGCCTGCCCTGGTACTGTTATTCCGGGCACTGCTGTGTCCCCAAAAAGGGACACTGAGAGGCTGTTGTCATTTCAATCTGCCTTTGGGAAAGTTATACAGGGATGTTGTTGGGATTAGTGGGCTTAAAGCCTTTCCAGCATAACCCTGGATTGAGAGTTCAGTTGGCAGAACTGTATTTCATCCTTGGAATAGAAATTACCTCCCATTCTGGAAAAAATAGCCCAGCTTTAACAGGTTTATTTACACTCTGTGTTTTCCAGGCATGCTTTGCACTTGGAGCGTTCAAAAATACATGTGAGGTGTATGAGTAATGTAAACCCACCTAGGAAATGGTGGGAGTGTTAAATAATGAAGATGTATTCTTTTTTAAGTGTTGTGTCTTCCTGTTCCACTTGTTGAAGGTTTACATGGATCATGAATCATTCCATAAAGGGAGGTGTCGATTGGAAAAATAAGGAAGAAAGATTTTTTTCATTTGTTTGTTTTTTGTTCTGTGAAAACTGTGGAAGAAATACATTGCTGGAAATAGAATGGTAATAGAGTTGAAATCCATGAAGGACTACAATGCTTCTTTAATATCTGGGGAGGCTGGAGTGGAACAGGGAGGCAGAGATCAGTTCCTGCCTTGTGTGTACCTTAAGCTTGCGTTTAATTTTTCAGCTGAAATGGGCACACATCTTGAAACAAAAAATGAGAACATCCCAAATCTTTTCATGTAAGCAGTTAGAATCAGAAATGTCAGTGACTGTTTCCTCAGTGAGGTCCTTGCAGTGTGCAAAATGTGCTGGCTAATGATAAGAATGGTAAGAAAAGTTACAGGGTAGGTTGTTTGCATATTTATTTATATATTTTTTCCTGTTTGTAAGCAGAATAGGAGATGCCATTGACATAAACCCAGTAAATTTAGAAAAATTGCAGAGTGAAATTGTTTGTGCAGCATCTGCTCCGAGGCTGTGCTGGAGCTGCCCTGTGTCCAGTCTCAGCTGTGCTCAGGTGACCAAAATCTGGTTATTTTCCTCTGAAACATCCACCTCTGTAGGCAACAGTACCCATCAGGTAAGTTTGCAAGGGTTTAGTGATTCTGTGTGAAAAAGTTATTATAGAATTTAAATACATTCTGTCCCTAAAAATCAAAGGATGTGGGAAAGGCAGGAAAGCAGCAGCAGTCCAGGGTCATCTCACAGCTTGTGTAGCAGGAGAAAATAGCTTTGCATGCGAACTTTTAAATACAGTATTATCTCAGGCACCAGGATGGTGTTGAGCTCTGAGTTGGGCTTTTTTAGTAACTTTGCTCTCATGACTAAAATTCAGTGGGGCTCAGTAACCCCATTGGGAAGCAGCTGTAGGAACAATCCCCAAGGGCTTTGGGTTGTTAAGTGCTCCCAGGAGATGAGAAACCTTTTTCTGTGGGTTTGGCATCATGACTTAGAAGTAACCCTACAGAATGCAAGGATCAAAATTCTGTGTGTGTGTGTGAATGCTGATCCTTTGTCATGGGGACGAGTGAGCAAAATTCAGTATCAAGGCCTATCCAATCATTCTGTTCCTGCCTGTTGTGAAATATCCAAATTTGATCTATGCTGGCACAATGGGATTTTTTTCTATGGAAGATACTTAACCTTCTTCATATGACCATTTAAAAAATGTGATATTTTAAAATGTTTAGAAGTCTTATCAAAATACCCTAATGTCCAGAAGAATATTAATCTAATTCTAAATATTATGAGATGGCCTTATGCTTTAAGTGTGGGGAATTTAATTACAGCTATCCAAGATTAAAACCTAATTTTTCCATATTAAGACCTTGATCTCTCAAGTCTAAGGCCAGTGTGTGGCACAGGTTTGTGCTGGCCCAAGTGCTTGTTTTCCAGTCTGTCCAGACCAGTCTAACTCCCTGTTTGAACAGAAATGAGGGAATTAGACCAGGTTGTTTCCCAGGATTGAGGAGCATTTCTGTGGTGTCAGGCCTCGGCTGCAGTGAGTCAGAGGACAACACCCTCATGAGCACAGGTTGTATTTTATGGACATAAAATTGGTTTTGATTTGTGTTTTTGCCTTTTGGTGGCTCACGGGGTTGTTGCCGTCGCCCCCCTCAGCTGGATGCTGCTGCTCTGTGTGTGCTCCCTGGGTGCCAGGGAGCTGCTCCAGCTGGGGAGAAACAGCTGGCCTTGGGGAGTGGGGGCACAGTTTTCAGTCCTTTGTTAAAAGGGAGGAGTATCTCAAAATCCCAAAGTCACTCGGTTTGGAAAAATCGAGCCCAAGTTGTGCCCCATCCCCTCCTTGTCCCCAGCCCAGAGCACTGAGTGCCACCTCCAGGTGCCACCTCCAAGGATGGGCACTCCAAACACCCCTTGGCAGCCCCTGCCAAGACCTGAGCCCCCTTTCCATGGGGAAATTCTGGGGTTGGCACTGTAGGGAGGTCACTCCTGGGGCTGGGCTCTGCTCAGGGCTGGTTCCCCAGCGCGAGGCTCGGGCAGTCAGCATCTCCCCAGGGAGGGTTGCCTTGGCACAGGTGCCAGATGTGTCACCTGAGAGGTGCTCAGCACACCTGTGCCAGTGCAGGGGCTGGGCCAGACACTCAGGGCTGTCACTGCTCCGGGGAAATGGAAGAGCCTACGGGAGAAAACAGTTATTTGCTCATCAGGGAGAGAGCTGCAGGGTGTGGGTTGCCTTGTCTGCTAGCTTATCATTATTCCTGCTGATTAATAAGCTGATATTAAGTTACAGGAATTTGCAACAACATCGAGCAAAAGTCAGGATTTTAAATCAGGGTGTGTTTAATTAAGAAAAGTGAAAGTCAGTAAAAATAACTCTGCTTTTCAGAGTTGGCAGTGACTTTAATTTACTTCCAAAAGGCTGAAGATATGTAATGATATGTGATCTATTGCTAAGGCCAAGCTTGTAGTAATGCTGGTTTAATGTAGTGATGCTGATTTAGTGTAAAGAATATTTACACGTGCAGCCTCAGAACTTGGCAAAGGGGAGTTAAAAAATAAAGACTCAAAACTATGAGAGCAGCCCATATGCTGAGTTTAGGAAATTTGGAAGAATTAACCAATATATTTATTGGAAATGCTTTCTTCAAAGTTTACATGGAAATATTTACAAACAGATTGGAAGATTTTAACTTTTATGTTGCCGTGCTGCGTATTTATATGGGACAGGTCTCGGTCAGGGCAAGTGGCAACCAGAGGTGATGTCCTGCTCAGTGCCAGCCTTCTGATGTTGGTTCTTTTTTTGAAAATAAATATCCCTGGGTGTTCTGTCAGTTAACTTTCTGTTGTTTCAGCAGTGTGGTGAAAAAATCCCAGCCAAGCTGTTTCAATAACTACATGCATGGCTGTAAAGCCTGTCTTATTTTTTTATGCCACGAAATCCAGAACCTTGCCTGAAAAGCTAAAATCCATCAGTGAATCTAGGAAAGAATTATCCCAGAGCCTCAGCAGAGCAGACTGGAGTCACACACTGCTTTTAACTGGGCTCTCTGGGTTCTGAGGGCTCGGGGGAGTCTCTGGGAGCCGAGTCGGAACCTGGAGCTGTGCAGGGCAGGTGGGAGCCGGGGCCAGGCCAGGCAGCAGCGCAGCCCTGCGAGGCCTGGTGAGTCATTCTTCCTGTCACATGAACCCTCCCTGCTCTGCTAATAGGCACTTAGTTGAATTTTAGATGCCTGGAATCATTAAAAAGGCTGGAAGGCATTTGTGTACCTTGTCCATTAGAAGAAAAATATGTTTTCTATAACTGTAACCTCCTACAGCCTCCAGCTCAACTTCAGAAAGTGGCTGCATTTTTTGTGTCATTATCCATTACCTGAACTGGGATGTTTGAAGGCAGCAGTGAATTCAGCTGCTTTCTCCCACGTGACATTGGTGGAAGAATATGTATTTCTTTTTACTATTGAAAGAAGGACCAGTGGTAGGAGTTAATATTCCACTCAATATCTGTGTCCTCTTTGTTTCATTTCTTCCACTGTTGTCACACGTGGTGCTTTCCTCCCTGCTCCCTGGTGGCTGTGCTCTCAGGCTGTAGCTGCCTTCTTTCTTACAGGCATGAGGGGTTGAATTTCTGCCATCCCCTCACCTGGAGAGCAGGTAGCAAAGGGCACGTGGAATCCAGAGTGTCCCAGCTGTGACAGAGCCTTTCCTCCTGCTGATAGACCAGGTCCTGCACAGGCAGAGGGAGAAAGAAGTGCTGAATTTTTGTGGGTAGACTGACAATAATGGTGGAGCATTTTCTGAGAATTCATAAACTACAGAGCTGGGAGAATCATGGAATCACAGGGTGGTTTGGGTTGGGATGACCTTAAAGATCATATTTTTAATCTTTTTTTACCCCTGCCCTGCCCAGGGATCCAGGGTCAGCCTCTCTGGGCAGAGATTGAATCAGGCAGTTTGGCTCTGTTTTCCTGTCCCTTCCATTGCCCCTCTTGCTCTGTGCAGGGTGGCTTGGGATTTCTGGACTAATGTTGTCTTTTTATAAAAAAAAATTAAAGCATATTCTAATAGGCAATTGCTTCTCAAGTTAGTTTGCATTTACTTCTAATGCTGAGCTCCGTGGGGTTTATAAAATGTGGCGTTTTTGTTCCTTGGAAAGGCTTTGAGAAGACGAAGGTGTGGTGGGAGTTGCTGCAGCTCCTCCTGTCCCTGCTCGGTGCCCTGGGGCTCAGTAAAGCTGCAGGTGAGGCAGGTCCTGCCACCTCCAGCCCCAGGGCCTCACACCCTGGGGTTGTTTGCTCTGCTCACATCTGGCCAGGGAGCAGCGCTGGGGCTGTGTCCTGCTGACAGCTGTGCTGGGAGCTGTTCCCGGGAACACGGATTAAATTTTCATCCGGATCACCCATTTCTCCTTCTTCAAGGAGATGGTTCAGCGTTGTCATGTGAGGACTGCTTATCCACAAAGCTTGGGGCTGACCCAAGCACTCTTTTTCTTCCCCACCTATTCTGTTCAGAAAATGTTCCTGGGCAGCAGAGTGAGCTTCATCTGACATGGAACTGGAGTGCAGGATGGCGGTGCTCTGCTGTTTTACTGCACCTGGACTGGCAGAAAGTGCTCCTGGTTTTGTTCTGGTGCTTTCCAGTGTAATTTCCTCCCTTTTCTCCCACTCAGCTGATCCCTTGGACCTGCCAGCAGAACCACTCGTTGTCATCTGCTAAGCACAGTCAGGACTTTCACAGAGGATGTGGATACAGTGTGATCTGGAGCAGACTATAGATTATAGACTTTCACTGGCACAAAGCAGCTGTGGCTGCCCCTGGATCCCTGGCAGTGCCCAGGGCCAGGTTGGACACTGGGGCTTGGAACAGCCAGGGACAGTGAGAGATTCCCCATGGCAGAGAGCAGAATGAGATGGGCTTTAAGGGATGGCCCAACCCAAACCATTCTGTGATCTTTGATGTTAAGCAGCAAAAGGAATAAAACTCCAAAGCACAGAACACTTGGACATCCAAGATCTGCATTTAGAAGAGTGAGCTGATTTATTTTCCCCTGATACAAATAAGATAAGAACATCCCCCTACGCCCCCATCCCTGTGTTAAACACTCAAGGAGAATGGCAGCATGTCTCTCCAAAGAAAAGAAAGCAAAATGTCCTGGATGGCTTCAGGAGCAAATGTGTGGGATTGCAGGAGGGAGAGCCGGAGGAGACATTGTTTGGTGGTGATTTCAAACGAGGGCAGTGCCTCCCGCTCACCCCAGTGCTTCAGTCTGGAGGTGCTTGATTGAGGTGAGTTATTCTGCAGAAAACCTCAGTGCCTGTGCTGCCGAGGTGATGGGAAATGGAAGGAAGGAGAAGGTGAGATGGCAGCTGTAACCTCCTTTCTGGCCTGGCACTGCTGCTCCCTGATCAAAGCTGCCATGGCACACCTGCCTCGTGCGGGTGATGCTGGATCTGTGATAGCTCCTGGTTATTTATACAGAGCCTGTGGGAAGCACGGTGCACAAAATAAACCGGCTCCTTTTCAGTCATGCAGTGTGAAAGGTTGAAGGGAAATGGCAACATTTATACTTCTGTGCATCATTATGTAATGTATCCATGGAAAATGTATCCATCCTTCCTTAGCAAAGCCACAGGCAGCAATGGAGCCTTTTGTTGGGTAGCTCACTGTATTTCTTTGACTAAAAACAGATGCAATGCAGCTTCCAAGCAGTGTGAGCTGAGGAAGTGCCAGGGAAATGGAAAGGTACTGGAAAGCTGTGTGCTGTGCTTTGCTGGAGTCCAGGTGTGTAAGGAGAGGCTTTAAAAACAACATTAAAACAGGGATGAAAGATTGATCGTTTCAAGTGGGAATGCTTCGGAGGGAGGCTGAGCAGCTGCTCTGTGTCCCGTGGTGCTGCAGAGCAGTCTCCTTCCAGAAGAGTGTGTTGTGTGCACACGACAAGCTGCAGGGGTGGTGTCAGAGCCCTGAGGAACCCCCCTGACCCCCGTGTGTGGTTCTGTTCAGCTGCAGAATGAAGAGGAGCCGGGCGAGGCCGTGCCGGTGGTGAACGACGCCCCGCCGCCCTACAGCAGCATCTCTGCAGAGAGCACAGGTACTGTCACCTGGGCAGGGGGCTGGCATTGCTCTGCTGCCACCAACTGCTCTCCTCATCCACAGCTGGCTCTGCAGCACCTTCCCAAGCTGCAAGGACCAGCATTGATCCACACAGCCTGTCGCTGCTTGTGGTTTAGGAGATGCAATTTGGCTGCACTCATCTGATGCCATCCCATCAAGGGGTGTTCAAGTTACAGTTCACAGTGTTCTCAGTAAATTGAAGGCAGTTAAAAATCAAAGTGCTGGGAGGATTTGTGGTTCCCCTCTCATTATCTGGCATTTGGATGACGCTGTTCCCCTTCCTTAAAGGATTCGTTACTTAAAAGGGTTTAAAGAATTCACTTTTCCTGCACTTTCCAATATCTAAGCACTTGGCCATAAGGATGGGACTTTGAATCATCCTCCTGTCCTGTCACTAATAACCTTAATAACTACTTGGATCTGGAAACGTGACTGTTTCTGAGTATCCAAGTCAGCAGAGGCCCAGCATGTGGTGTTGGTTTAAGCAGAAGTACAGCCAGACATGTTCGCTGAGTGTTCTCTGGGTTGCTGGCTGTCAGAGAAGGTGCTCCTGTGCTTTTCCCTTTCTGCTTTGGGATGGCAGGAGGCTGGGGTGGGTGGAAGGGTGGGGAGGGGACAGACAGCCTGAGGAACGGGGCTCATTGGGAGTCACCTGGAGCACTGCTGGTTCCCAGCAGGGAGTTGTGAGGAAGTGCTGAGCTCCCTCCTGTGTCACTGTTTTTGACACTGTTTTTGTGTCACAGCTTACTTTGACTACAAGGATGAGTCAGGCTTCCCGAAGCCACCGTCCTACAACGTGGCCACCACCCTGCCCAGCTACGACGAGGCCGAGAGGAGCAAGGCCGAGGCCACCATTCCCCTGGTTCCTGGCAGGGTGAGTGTCCTGCCTGTCCCTGCACTGCTGGGGGCAGTTCAGCTTCAACTCCTGCCCGTCATGTGGCACGACTTTTAACACTTGTGTTGGGGTTCTTTGTGTTTTTGAAGCTTTCTGGGGTGGTGATATTCCACACTTCTGAGAGTCCTGTGGCTATTTTTTTTCCCTGTGAGCGCTGTGATGATGTCAGACATCTCAGTGATGCCAGCATGTGCTAGCCAGATTAGCTTGGCAAGCTGACAGAGGGACTGTGCTGTATCCCTGTGCACTGACACTGGGGTTTTTGTTGTTTTTTTTTTTCATTTTAAAAAAAGATTTAGGATTAATTCTTCAGCTGTCTGGCATATCTACCCTTGATACTCCTGCTGCTTACTCAGTTGACTTTTCTGGAGGTCATTGTAGCTGATACAAGGATGATAAAACCATTCTGTCAGAATGATATTTTTCTGTTTTTTTCAATATTATCTCTTGTTCAGCCATTCCCTCCACCCCTGCTAGCATTAGAAATCCACTGCTCATTACACTTCTTCACAGAAGCCAAATTCCTTGCTGAGATGATAATTTTTTGATGAGTTGAAGAATTCTTCACGGTGAGAACAAGAACATACTGGATCTTGACTGTATTAAAAATAAAGATACATTTCCTATTATATAGATAACATTTCATGCCCTGCACCATTTCAGGATGAGAAACAGGAATTTTCTCGTGCTTGCATTTGTAGCCTTTTGGGATTTAGGATTCCAGCCCTTTTTTTGAAGAGTCACACCCAGAAGTGGGGTTGCTGTGTGGACTGGACTGACCTAAATTCCCCTTGTGCTGCCTCCCTCTGCATTGCAGGATGATGACTTTGTGACACGGGATGACTTTGATGACACTGACCAGCTGAGGATAGGAAATGATGGCATTTTCATGCTGACTTTCTTCAGTAAGTACTTGATGGAATGAACTTTTTTCCAAGCAGTGACCCAGAATAGTTTGGGTCACATTTATGTTTATGTAGCACCAGGAAAAACATGTGTGCAAGGGGTTTATGGTTTTTTTTCCTCGGAATATAAAGGTGTCTTGACCTGCTGCTTTTCTCCTGCTTTCTCAGTGGCATTCCTCTTCAACTGGATTGGATTTTTCCTGTCTTTCTGTCTGACTACTTCAGCTGCAGGACGATATGGGGCCATTTCTGGCTTTGGTCTCTCTCTTATTAAGTGGATCCTTATTGTCAGGGTGAGTTGTGTGGTGAAAAAACACGTACAGACACTGATACTCTTTTTTTCCCCAGCAGGTTTTTATCTCATACTGAAGTTAGTGATAAATTTAGCTGTTTTTTTGGGTTCTTTTTTCAATAATGAAATAATTTTTGAGCTACTTATTTAGTAAGAACATGTGAGTTTGTGGGTTTTAAGTTGGGTAATTCTTTGAGGGCTCTCCTGGTAGGGGAGAGTTTCTAGTTTACTTTAAAACGTAAGAAGTTTTTTCTATAGATAAAAATTAATGTTTTCTTAAAAATCAGAACACCCCAAAACAAACAAAAAATATTCCTTTTACTCTAAGTTCTCACAAGAACAGATCTTTTTCATACTTGTATTCTGTTTATATGCTGGAATTACAATTGTAGTAAAAGGAAAGAAAGATTGCACACCCAGATATGCTTTGGGGATGCTCCATCCCTGGAAGTGTCCAGGTTTAAGCTGGACAGGGATCCCTGGGATAGTGGAAGGTGTCCTTGTCTGTGGCAGAAGAGAGGAGCTGTAGCATCCAGCCCAGCCCATTCTGGGATTCTTTCTGTGTCTGCCAGAGGCACTGGCCTGCTCAGTGTGGTTTGTGCTGAGCAGCAGCACCTCTGTTAATATTAGGAAAATATTAGCCCTGCCTTCGGCCTCTGCAGCCTGCTGTGCCCTAGGCTCTCTCTGGACAGAAGGAGATCTCTGAAATGCAGGACAGCTGATGAGGAGAGGGAAGCAGGGCCGTGGGAGGAGTGAGCCTTGGAGCAGCAGTGGGAGAAGGCCGTGGGTGCCCTCTGGTGCAGCCTCCCTGCGGCACAGGAGCAGGCACCAGGAGCGAGCTGCAACCCTGCTCCAGGCTTTTTGCTCTTATGTTTTTTGAGGGGTTGGGAGAAAATATTTCCATCAGGAAATCTTTATTTGGAGCCTGTGGAATGATGGCATTCCAGGCTGAAAGTTGACTGTCGAGCAAAGCAGCTCGCTGGCTGTAAGTAGAAGTAGAGATTATTCATGTCAGAGCTGTCACTTCTTACCCTGTCTTTTGGGGCTGGGAGTTCTAATTTGTAAATACAGGATCTCTTCACTTTTCTGTAGACAGTTTTTATGGTCATCTTGGTTCAGATGTGTTAAGGGCTCTTTGCTGCATTAAGAGGTGTGACAGAAGGAGGTGACATTAACTGTGGATTTGATTTTAATGTCAGTAACTAACTTACCTTTCGTTAGGTTTTTAACCTTGAATAGAAAAACCCAGCGGAATGATACTGTATTTGTACTGAAACTGTGAACTTCAGTGCTCTCGCAGTGTTGGTGCCTTTCATTTTATAGCAGTAATTTCCCAACTGGGAGTCTTGTCAGTGGGTTCCACAGATGTGGGATTTCTTTCCCAGCTGTTACACCATCCAACCTGACAGTGTAATGAATGTGCAGTGCTGCTGCAAGCCTGCTCTGCCCTTTCAGAACCTGCAGCTGTGCTTTAGAAGCATCCAGATCACAATTTAAAACAGGAATATTTGCCCAGTGTCCTTGTGCCTCGCTGATTGCCAGAGTTCATAGCTGGGTGTTGAATCTGTCCCATTCCCCTTGTTGGAGCTGGTGCAGAAAAACCATAAATAACAGTTTTTGGAGGTAGCTCATTCCTGCAGCTGGTGAAATGCAGCATTGCATGAGTTCTCTTGTGTGCAGCCCTGATCTGGTTACTGCCAAAACTGGTGGGGATAGACATTGGTTCACAAACTTCCATGTGCTCTAAACTGTATTTTTTTGGTTGTTTTTCAGTTCTCCACCTATTTTCCTGGTTACTTCGATGGCCAGTACTGGCTTTGGTGGGTCTTCCTTGTACTAGGTGAGTGTCTGTGGGGGGAAAGATGCTTAAAAACTCCGTAAAGTCAGTTAGGATTTTGTGAACATTCCTGGCTGTTAAATATGTGTGTGTATATGTCCAGATGAAATGTGAGCCTCACACTCCACTGACTGAACACATTCAGGTTTTAAAGGCACGTGTAAACACTGTCCTTCTGTTGCCAGTTCTTTGTGGCAGCATCCTGACATCATCCAGAAGTTGAGAAGAGAATAATGCTTGTAACTGATGTTTTGTCTGCTCTTGCATCTTAAATGGAAGAGTGGATTGTTGCCTTCCTCATTTTGTTTTCTTTTTCCTGCTTTGAGAGTCACTGGATCTTGTTTGGAGTTGAAAGTTTTGTGGCTTTCCAAGGAAAATTTGTTTTTGAAGTTACCTGAAATGGAAAGATGAGGTGTTACTGCTACCAAAACTAATTACTGTGTGATCAGCTGCCGTGCATCCCAGTGATGAGGTTCCTCTGTAGTGGTGGCAGGGAGTTCAGCTCTCCTTGAAGAAGCATCACCTGTGTTAATTGGACAAATGTGTCTCTCCCCTGCAGGTTTTCTGCTGTTTCTCAGAGGATTTATTAATTATGCAAAGGTTAGAAAGATGCCAGATACGTTTTCCACTCTTCCCAGGACCAGAGTTCTCTTTATTTACTAAAGGTAAATTTTCTGCTTTTCCTGAATTTGTTCTGCTTTGATTTTAACTCTATTTAGTAACTTTTCTAGGCTATACTTTCCATTGCTTAAATATTTTTAGAACTCAAGGAAGCAGGGAACAGTTATTTCTTGGTACCCCCTACCCAGCTTCTGAGTCTGCAGAGCCCAACCTGACTGATGGGAGGCAGAGGAACACTGGATGTTTCTCCCTGAGTTTTTGCTGTGAGGAATTGGATATTCATTTGATTCCCTGACTGGATACTGTGAGAACAAAACCCCTGCCCCTTGGTAGGGGTGTATTTGGCAAATGTGTCTTTGAGAGTAAATCACATGCCTGAAACACGTGGTGTGTCCCAAAGCCGAGGAGAGGTCACAAAATGTTGTTAGAGGGGCATGCCACTGCCTTTGGCTTTTGTCCCAGAATGAGCAATTTGTCTGAATTCTGCTGTTTGAAACTGCTGCCAGGTTCCTGAAGAAATGACAGCCTTGCACACCTTTGCTCTCCTCACACACTCCCACACACCTGAGCTGTCCTGTCTGAGCATCTTGCAAAAACCTGAGTGCCTGGGAGTCTTTTGCTCCAGTGCTGAGCCTCAGCCTGGCTGCCTTAATGGGGCTTTAAAGGAGGAGGCTTAAGTAGCTGAAGCCTTGTAGCATAATTTCCTGCTCACAGCAGATAATGGCCTGGCATTAACTGTCCCTCCCCTAGGGGAAGGAAATCCTGGAATAGGTTGCTTCCCAGCTGGGGAATGCAACATGATGCTCCCTTTAGAAATATCATAATAACACTCCATTTCCTCAGAGAGGCAATTGCAGCTGGGACAGTCAAAGAAACCAAACCAACCCCAGCTTTAAATTGGGGGTCATTAAATTGTTGAGATTTGAAAACCGAGCCTTGGGTTTCCAAATGCACTTCCCTTTTATTAGAAACTGCAAATTGCCCACGATTCTACTTCATTTCCAGGCTGTGAGGAGAACCTGCAGCACAGAACAGCCTTTGTGCAGTGCTTTCCTCTGGTGATAGTGTGTAAAAATAGTTCAGCCAATTTCTTTACGTGTTTCAGTTCTGTTTAACAAAGTTCTGGTTTGTGACCTCCTCAGGATCTGTAATGTCCTCCCAGATTCCTGCTGAGTCACCAGAGGGTTGATTTGCCCCCTGTTTATGGTCATGGAATGTGAGCATTTAAAGTCAGCTTTATCTCTGTATTTTGTCTGACTGAACAATTTTTTAAAAATTTTTGCTCCTTTACCAAAACTTTATTTTTATTTCTTAAATGAGCTCTGTGGTTTCTTTTTGCATAGACTTCTCCTACATTTGAAATTACAGTTTTAGAGACCTGGCTTCACTCTTTGCTTGTGGAGGTGTAGAGTGTTTACATTCTTATTTATGTGTCATTTTAAAGCATTTTCAAAAAGCACTTTCAGATATGCTGAGATAAATGTCCAGAATAATTCATAAATATTTCCCCTGAAAAGAAATCTTTAATCCTGAATTCTGAGTGAAAAAAACACAAAAGACTTGGAATTTTAGCATGTTACTGTTCCTAGATGAGATTTCCTCTACAGGGCATGATGCAAAGGGCACAGTGAAGGATCAGTTTTATTTCAGAGCAGGGATAATTTTTAGAAAATTAGGAGAACAATAATGAGTGCAAACAAGAAAATACAACCTGGTGAAAAGCTGGAGTTTACTATTCCAGCTGTGTGTGCAGTAATGGACACAATCCTGGTGTTATCCCATAAAATACGCACAGATTCCTGAGCATTTTCCTGGAGTCACATCATTGTGTGCTGAGACACTTCATAAGCCCTTAGACATCCTGTGCTGTGTGAACAACATCCTCCTGTTATCCAAAATAACCCTCTGACTGCAGTGTCGGTGTTCAATATCCTTCTCCAACAGATGTTTTCTGGCAAATGTCTTCCTGCATTAGTGAAATCCCCCCCAAGAAGCATCAGGACACCTGCAGGAAGTGAATCAAGGCTCTGGAGCAGAAGAAAAAATAATCACCTGCTTTAAAATAAATAAATAAAAAGTACTGTTGGAAAAAGTAAAAAAAAAAAAGGAGAAGCATTTCTTTCGATTTGTTTTTAGGTGTAAAATTTTAATAATTAACTCAGAATTCTGTAATTGTTGACTCATTAGTGGCTAATGTTTGAAGCAGCTCTTGCAGTGAGTGCTGATGGAGCCGTTCAGCCGGAGTTTGTGGTGTTTGGGCAGCAGGAGCCGTCCCGGGGCCAGCAGGGGCCAGGCTTGCTTTAGTTCCTCCTCCAGCCTGGGAGCTGCCCGGGCTCTGCCTGTGCTGGGCAGTGTGTGACACCCTGTGCAGTGTGTGTGACACCCTGTGCAGTATGTGACACCCTGTGCTGGGCAGTGTGTGTGACACCCTGTGCAGTATGTGACACCCTGTGCTGGGCAGTGTGTGTGACACCCTGTGCAGTGTGTGTGACACCCTGTGCAGTGTGTGTGACACCCTGTGCTGGGCAGTGTGTGACACCCTGTGCTGGGCAGTGTGTGACACCCTGTGCAGTGTGTGTGACACCCTGTGCTGGGCAGTGTGTGTGACACCCTGTGCAGTGTGTGTGACACCCTGTGCAGTGTGTGTGACACCCTGTGCAGAGTGTGACACCCTGTGCAGTGTGTGTGACACCCTGTGCAGTGTGTGTGACACCCTGTGCAGAGTGTGACACCCTGTGCTGGGCAGTGTGTGACACCCTGTGCAGTGTGTGTGACACCCTGTGCAGTGTGTGACACCCTGTGCTGGGCAGTGTGTGTGACACCCTGTGCTGGGCAGTGTGTGGCACCATGTAAAGTGTGTGTGACACCCTGTCCTGCACAGTGTGTGACAGCCTGTCCTGCACAGTGTGTGCTCTGTGTCCTGCACAGTGTGTGCTCTGTGTCCTGCACAGCCCACGTCAGCCCATGTCCTGTACAGTCCCCATGTGCCACATCCTGTCCAGCCCGTGTGCATCGTGTCCTGTACAGCCCATGGACCTCCATGTACTCTGTGTCCTGTCCATCCTGTGTGCTCCATGTGCATCATATCCTGTCCACCCCTGCACTGTGTCCTGTCCCTGTCCATCCCTGTCCCCCTGTACTCTGTGTCCTGCTGTCCATCCCAGTCCATCCCTGTCCCCCGTGTCCTGTCTGTCCATCCCTGTCCCCCGTGTCCTGTCTGTCCATCCCTGTCCCCCGTGTCCTGCCTGTACATCCCAGTCCCCCCGTCCTGCTGTCCATCCCAGTCCATCCCAGTCCATCCCAGCCCATCCCTGTCCCCCGTCCTGCTGTCCATCCCAGTCCATCCCAGCCCATCCCTGTCCCCCGTCCTGCTGTCCATCCCAGTCCATCCCAGTCCCCCGTCCTGCCTGGCACGCAGGGTGACTCTGGAGCTGAGGTGACAGCCCCTGTGAAGGTGTGTCAGCAGGGTGGCCGTGCTCCTGCAGTCCCCCAGCACCCAGGGGCCTGTGGAGGAAAAGGGGTCACTGCAGTCCAGGCTCTGAGGTGTCACTGGGAATTTAGAGGTGGCACAAGTATTAACTTTTAACAGTCTTTATTCTCGGTGTTGTAGTATCTTTCCTTTCGCACACCAACTTTTTGGGCTCTCCAGGGGTTTTCACTAACAGGTCTGTAGTGTAAAACTAAAAGATCATGTTGCAACTTTGTATAAAAACCATCTTGCAAAACAAAGGCCTTTTTTTTTTCTTTGGCTTGGGACTTTTGAGACAATTCCTAACATACCTGTAATTCTTGCTTTTATAATTTGTGTTAGCAGAGACTCTGATGCATTGGAAATGTAGATTTAATGTGCACTCCTGTGCTTTCTGCCAAGTGGTCATTCACTTTGGAGTTTTACAATGTTCAACCTGTAAATACAGCAGAATATCAATAAATGTCACTTCTGTAGCAATTGTTGCTGTAGGACAATGTTTAATTGAGTTTTGATATGTTGTTGCACCTGGTTATCCATGATAAACACAGATTATCTGGGGGCATTCCATCTCTTTCCGTGGAAGGCATAACACAAATCTCCAAGGTGTCCCTCTTTTTTGTAACCAAGCCTGTCAGGAAAAGGTGATTCCATTTTGGGGATTTTGTTGGATTTTTTGGTAGTTTCATGACTCTACCTGACCCATGAAGCTGGTTTTGGTTCACAGCTGGACTTCTCAAATGTACAATCCCCACAAATGAGCATTTGGGGCTGACAGAGATGGATAGCGCTTCCACAGATTCCTCTTTAAACAAGAATTAAGTGAACATAGAATTAGGAATTTTATCCTACAAGGCAAAATCTGCAACGTTGGGGAACTCTGAATCACATTTGCCCAAACTTGGTCGATCAGCCTCATGTTTGCTCTCCTGGCATCTGGGCCTTATTTGGGCTTGAGTATCCAGAGAACTGGAATATTTGGCATTCCTGTTGCTCCTCCTGCAGTGGCCTGAAGCTGCAGACACCTCCAGCTCTGTGTTCCTGCACAGACAGAGGCTCTGGGGAGGACAGGCTCTGGAGAAGCCACGCTGTGTTTGCTGTGGCTTCACACCGACTCCAGGCTCAGATTCTTGTGTTGGGTCTGTGACAGCTCAGCCACTTCACGCCACCGAAGTGGCTGAGCTGTGGTCACCTGCAGGGACCAGGTGAGCACCTCTGGCCTTCCTGGCAGCCAGGCTGGGGATGGAGCCTTTGGTGCTGTGCTGGGGACAGAGCTCAGACTGCCCAGGACCTCTGGCACGGCCAGGGAGGGACAGGATGGGGAGGGCAGGGCTGGGTGGGATATTGGGAAGGCGTTCCTGGCTCTGAGGGTGCCTTGAGAAGCTGTGGCTTCACTGGCAGTGTCCCAGCCAGGTTGGACAGGGCTTGGAGCGATCTGGGATAGTGGGAGCTGTCCCTGCCCATGGCAGAGGGTGGCACTGAATGGGCTTTAAGGTCCCTTCTGCCCAAACCAGTAAAGAAGTGCATCTTGAGATCTGATGTCCAGTTTCCATGGAAGATGGAAAAGCAACCCAAGGGGGTAAGGCTCAGCTGAAGGAGAACAGCATGTGCTGGAAGAAATCAGATCTGCCTGTGGAGGAGGTAGGAGCGCCATGGAGGAAAGGAGGGGAGTCTGCCCATTGTCTGTGTCCTTCTGCCTGCTCTGGTGGGAACCCAGTGAAAATATTGGTGCTAATTGTCCATGGCATCATGTGCAATAGAGGATTACACTGAGGTGTAAAACCACTCAACTGGAGACCTCCCAGTTTCTTCAGCTGGATGTTTCCCCTCTCCTCTCACTCTGGGTAATAGTTACATGTGCAAAAAGTCGATAAATATTGCTGGATTTAGGAATTATTTCTCTAAACCTTTTGGCTTTATTGCAGAAGTCCTTTCTCACCAGAGAAACACTGCAGTGAATGAATCCCTGTGCCACACAAAGCCAAGGACTGACCCATTTTGGGTGCCTGGGTTAGTGGCAGTGATTGCCCTGACCTCTCCTCTCCTCTCAGATCTGTGTGATGGCCCCAGATCCTGGAGCAGGGGCTGGGAGGGAACAACTGAAAGGGCCAGAAAATGTAACGGGCAGAGCTCATCCTGGGGCTGCTGTGGCTTTGTGTGCCCAACCTGTGCCTGAGGAAATTCCTTTTCATGTGGAGTTAAGTTTTCATAGCACCCATTCTTATTTTCACCGCCTTGTGTTCAAAAGATGGCACAACTTCCACGGGAGCAGAGAAGAAACCAAAGTGTTTGAAAATACACAAAATACTCCAAACCTGGAGGCAGCTGGAATAAAGAACTATTTAAAACCTCAACACAGAACATTTACAAGGGCTGTTTTAGTGCTGATACCTGTTACTCATCACATAAAACACTTCACAGTGTGGTACTGGTGGGGTTGTTGTGTTCCCCCAGGTCCTGGGGATGCCCAGATCATTCACTGCTCCAACTGGTTGCTCAGCTGGGCTGTCACCTCATCCCACTCAGGGCTCGGTGCTGCTTAGAAGGAGAATTTCCCCTTGGCTTTTTTTTTCCTTTGAGACTTTTGGGTAAAATGGACAAAAGCCAGTCAGGGAAGGAAATCATCAGAGCACAAGGATCATTACTGTCTAAAGTAAAAAATCAACCACAAGATATATCCTAGAGAGTACTTATAAATCATAGGACTTATATGGATACAAACCCTATTTTGCTAAGCTTAAGCTGTGTTAATAAAGCCTCATATCAATGAATGTGACAATAAAGCAAAAGGCAGGGATCTGTGCCAGGCTCTGGAGCATCAGGAAGGTCTGTGCTGAGTGCCACGGTGCCAGGGGATGAAACCTGGTCCATGTGCCAAGTGGGGCGAAGAACAAGAGCACTGTGGACTTGCTTTAAAAAAAAAAAAAAAACCAAAAAATTGACTTAATAGAAGCTTTGCCAAATAAAAAATTGGCGTTTCCAAAATATCCATCACCCCTCAGTGAGCTCTAAGGGGCCCCTGAGCTGTGACCTCGGGTGTTTGTCACTGGAGCTCCTGGGATCCCCCTGGAGCATCCCCGGGGCACTGGGGGTGGCGTGAGGGGCAGTGGGTGACAGCAGGGTGTCCCTGCCCGTGGGAGTCACCTGGGCTGGTGTCACCTCTGGCTCTGGAGGCAGCATGGGGGCTTGGTGGGCCGGATGCCCCGGTCACACAGCACAGGGACAAAGCAGGAGCCATGGGAAGAAATCCCATCTCCCACCAGATTCCTGTTTGGTTTTGTTGTTGCCTTAGCCAAAGTGGCCGGAGCGCCGTAATTAAAGGCTCAGTGGCTCTAATTGGAGTCGGTTTAAACTCGAGGTCAAAATCCCTTCTGGCACTTCCTCTGCCTAATAACCAGCAACAGAAATCAAACAAATCCCAGCGGCTCCAGCCCCTAATCTGTGACCAGCAAAGGTCGTGCTCTGATAAGGGAGATCGGACATGGAAACGCGGCCCTGCAGCCCCACGGGGCTGGGGGACAGCGGGGACAGTGCCACGGCCACCCGTGGGTGCTGGGGGAGAGTGGGGACAGTGCCACGGCCATGGGTGGGTGCTGGGGGACAGTGGGGACAGTGCCACAGCT